GGGTCGGCGCGGCGCTCGGCGGGGGGGGCTCGGGGGCGGTGCTTTTTTTTGCTGCTTGGGGCACCAAAAACTAGAGCCGGCCTTGCTGCTAAGGGTAATCAGGGAAGCGAGGGTACATCTACTACATGTTTGTGGCTTCTGCCCTGCTCCCTATGCTGCTCGCCTGTGTGCGCTTTGGTCCCTACATGGGATATTTTCCTACCATGGGGTGAAGAACAAAGCAGCTCTGCCAGGGAACCTTTGGCAGAGGATTGCCGAGTACCTCTAGGAAACTTTCCTGGAGATCTCTCTGGAGGATTCCCGTGAGACCTTGGTGTGCATCAACACCCTGTTCCGCTGTACTGATTCGCTACACAGGGAAATGTCCAGCACACAGAAACACAGCCAGCCTCTACATTTCTATACCCTAAACCGACCTCCACTCTACACAAACCACAGCCACTTACCAGGCGTCTCCTCTCCTGCTTCTTGCTCGCCGGAGAGCAACTGCTGAGACTGGCTAGACACCTCTGGAGTGGTGAACAGTTTCTGGTTGCCTGCCCCACCGGACAACCCCCCCCAAGAGCTCCACATTGTCATCTAACTCCACTTTTTTGTCAATTCTTCATCTTCTGGGTTAGGTGCTCTTTCTACCACCTCCAGGCCCGCCGAAGTATCCACGGGGCTCTTGGCGGTGGAGGTGGCGTCGCCACCAAGGATAGCTTCCAGCTCCTTGTAGAACTGGCAGGTCTTAGGTGCAGCACTGGAGTGACGGTTTGCCTCTCTCACTTGCCTCAGCTCCTTTATCTTCATTCTGCACTGCAGCGTGTCCCAATCATAGCCCCTTTCATACAAGCCTTGAGAAATCTGCCTGTAGGTATCAAAATACCTACGGCTCAAGCGCAGCTGGGACTGCACAGCCTCCTCTCCCCAAATACTGAGCAGATCCAACAGCTCCGTAGTAGTCCAAGCAGGACAGTGTTTGGTGCGATAACCTGCCATGGTCACCTGGGAAGATGCTATGAGACTTCTCCACGCTGAGCAAACAGGAAATGGAATTTTAAAAATTCCCGGGGCTTCTAATGGGGAGGGGCGGATGGTTGTTTACCTGGCTGCAGGGCAGTGGAGTTCAAACTGCTGACCAGAGTGGTCACGATGGACATTGTGGGACAATTCCTGAGGCCAGTTAAAGCAATAAAATCAAGCGTGGTGTCTTGTCAACAAAAATTTAGAGGAAAAAGCCTTATGTCTTTCATCAGGGTGTTTTTATTTTGTTGCCAAAACAGGCCATTTTTGCCGCCAAAAGTCACCTTGCAGTGTGTACACATTCACTGTTTTGTTGGCAAAAGCTGCCTTTTGTCGACAAAACTTTGTAGTGTAGACAAGGCCTAATGGAGGGAGAAGCCTTGAAGCTGGTGTTGTAATGAGGAACTCTACATTGAAAAATCTTAACCTCATCTTCCAGGGGTTTACAAACTGACAGCCCATATGTAGGTATCCTGCTTAGTTATTTGAAATGGACAGCAAGGGGTAAAGTGGTAGTGAATCACCTGAGAGGTATCTGTTCCTTTCACTGCAGTTTGCACAGAGCCTGTAATGCATATCTTCAATTATTATCTAATCAACCCTCATAATATCCCTAGGAGGTAGGCAGATAAGTATCTTGACTTTAGCAAAGCTTTTGATACGGTCTCCCACAGTATTCTTGCGAGCAAGTTAAAGAAGTATGGTTTGGATGAATGGACTATAAGGTGGATGGAAAGCTGGCTAGATTGTCTGGCTCAACGTAATGCAGATCTTAGCTTAAATTACTTGGGCTCTTCAGCATCTGCATGTGTATAATCACTAAGGGGTTATCTGATTACATGTGTTTTTTTCACAACTGTCAGCTAAGTCCTATACCCACATGAAAAATTCAGCATTTGGGAACATTATGTGCAATTATGACTCTCCCTGAAGGATATTGTGTCCATAAAACACAATACTGCTAGAATCATAGAATCATAGAATATCAGGGTTGGAAGGGACCTCAGGAGGCCATCTAGTCCAACCCCCTGCTCAAAGCAGGACCAATTCCCAACTAAATCACCCCAGCCAGGGCTTTGTCAAGCTTGACCGTAAAAACCTCTAAGGAAGGAGCTATAAGAGGCTTGCTTGCTTATAGACTCTAGGTACACAGACCTGTGCTGCCCTTAATACTGCGTTACTGTGGAGAGCCTTTGTGCTGCATACTAATAACCTGTATTTGTGGTATGTGACATTTTCTCTATGCACATAATAGAATTTGCTGGGAAAAGTCTCTCTCACTCACACATACACACATATTATTGGAACTTACCCTCAGGCACCTGAAGTTTGTCTAATGCCTGCATAAGCCATGAATGTAACAAGCAGCTGTGACACATTCTGAAGCTGTAACTTCCAAAATAAGTGTTGCCCACTATTGATTTGTTTTGAAAGAGAGTAAGGAGACGATTTGCCATTGCTTCCCCACAGTGGAAGCTTTATGGAGCAGACTGAATTTTGCAATTCTTTGTGACTGTCAGCTTGTTTGTGTTTTAGCAGGCAAGAAGAACCCACCATCCAAGGGCAAGGTAGTGCTGACCAACATGAAGATACTGAGCAATGAAGAGAGTCAAACCCAGGGGTTGACAGGAGAGCCACCTGCAGCCATGGACTTTGCAGCGGAATCCAGGCTTCCCAAAGTCGACATCCCATTAGAATGCCAGGGAAATCTGGGCACAAGAGACATCTCTTCAAAACCAGACTATGTGGCCACCCTGTCTGACCTCAGCACCTTAGAGTCCAAGTGCCAGCTTCACAGATTCTCCAAATTTGAATCAGAGGATTCTGGGGTTGAATTGCCAAGTGGAGCCAATTCTCCATCTACACCAACAGGCTCCGAGAAGAGCTTTGTGCTTCACACCAGAGACTCGTCTTGTGACTCCGGAGTGCTCAGCATCTCTTCTTCTCCGGGAATTGACCATGTCATAATGAGAAAGTGTAAAGACATCAGAGAAACCAGCCAGTGTGCTTCAGACAGTGAAAAGCAAGTTGAATATTACAGCCAGGCAGCAGATGTGGTGCAGATCCCTACAGCTTCCCTGGAAGATTTCAGTGACTGTCAGGAGGGAGAAAGTCCTAATAAACTTTTTGGCCAAAGTGAAGGACAATATTTGGAAGAGAAACCCAGGAAAGAGATAGACCTTTCCATTAAAGACACTCCTCCAGCTGCTGCCCACATAGAAGAGCAAAGGCCAATCAGCAACCGTTACAAAGAGACCTTTGGGAGGATGCAAGAACTTCAGCTCCATGGACATCAGCTCAAAAAATATCCCACAAGCGACAGCCTGGATGAGTACATGGATGAGTGCTGTCGATTAAGTGAGGTAAGAAACCAGACATGCAAATTGGAATGCTACACTTGGGATTTTCAAATTAGAATAATAGAATCATAGAATATCAGGGTTGGAAGGGACCTCAGGAGGTCATCTAGTCCAACCCCCTGCTCAAAGCAGGACCAATCCCCAACTAAATCATCCCAGCCAGGGCTTTGTCAAGCCTGACCTTAAAAACCTCTAAGGAAAGAGATTCCACCACCTCCCTAGGTAACCCATTCCAGAGTGATCAAAATTAGTCTAAGCTGCACAGGTAAAAATCCCATTGACTTCAATGGGAGCAGAGTTAGGCCAACTCTGAGTGCTTTGGAAACCCCCACTCTAAAGTATTATGGTCTGCAGAGAATTGCAGTTGATTTTACGGGACTGTAATTTACATGAAGTGACATTTTTGAGGAATTTATGAGCATAAGGGCCAGAGCCTCAGCTGGTGAAGATCAACACAGAGTGAATAGCGCTAGCCCAATTTACACCAGCTGAGGCTCTGGCTCAAAGAGTCTTGCACCGAAGGGTAGAGTTGTTGCTGCTATTAAACACACACACATTTTGAAGGGGTGGTGGAGTGGTGAGCATGCTAGCCCATCTCATGGTATAGTACCACCTGGGATACTATGGGGTGGAGGTCACAGGCCTAGAAATTTGATAATACAATGCAACTTCAGGGCCTGGTCATCTCTATTACTGGAAACAATGGCTCCTTTGTATAGTGAGTGAACGTGGACTAAATGCATGAGAGGAACACTGCAGAGCTGCTTGCATTCACACTTTAAGACAAAGATCCAATTTTAACTAGCGAATATCACACAAGAGTAGCAGAAACCTCAGTGCTTTGAGATCAGCAGGTGGAAGGTGCTGCATATGCATAGAGCAGGGGTCAGCAGCCTTTCAGAAGTGGTGTTCCGAGTCTTCATTTATTCACTCTAATTTAAGGTTTCGCGTGCCAGTAATACATTTTAACATTTTTAGAAGGTCTCTTTCTATAAGTCTATAATATATAGCTAAACTATTGTTGTATGTAAAGTAAATAAGGTTTTAAAAATGTTTAAGAAGCTTCATTTAAAATTAAATCAAAATGCAGAGCCCCCCAGACCGGTGGCCAGGACCCGGGCAGTGTGAGTGCCACTGAAAATCAGCTCGCATGCTGCCTTTGGCACGCATGCCATAAGTTGCCTACCCCTGGCATAGAGCATTCCCCTCCTCGAAAGCATCGCCAGTTTCACAGACTTATTTGCTTCTCCATCACAGCATAGAATGTGCACCTGCTGAGTCTGAAATGCAGCTAGAAAAGTGTTTCAGTCACTGAGAATAAGGAGACTTTTTGTGCAGCTACTCTTTGTTGGCAAGGGTTTGCTCTAGTGCTTTGCTTTATGTGCTGACAGACTATTGACTTGCTACCTTGTGCATCTGCTTTCAAGATTCAGCAATGAGAAAATATAATCAAGTAATTAATTCTGAGAGAGAGAGAGAGAGAGAGAGAGAGAGAGAGAGACCAAAGTGTACTGTGATCAAAAGGAAGGAGCTTTGTGGCCTTGTCAAACAATACTCCTGCAAACATACTGAGCATGCTGAAAGATGCACAATGGAGAAACTCTTCTACTGATGCCCTTCTCCCCCCCAACAGCTCGTCTATTATGCCTAGTCTACACTACGCGGTTAGCTTGATGTACGCTGCCTTGTGCCAACCTAGCCATGGAAGTGTCTTCGCTTGAATTTGGCTCTTGCTGACTTAAGTGCCTCTCTACGCTGATTTAGTAATGCCCGAGCAGCGTAGAATCACAGTTGATGTAGTTAGGTCGACGCAATGTCAGTGTAGACACTGCATTTCGTACGTTGACTTGTTACTAGCCTTCAGGAACCATCCCACAATGTCCCATATTCAGGGCTGGCTCCAGGCACCAGCGCAGGTGCTTGGGGTGGCCAACACAAAGGGGAGGCACGTCCGGGTCTTCGGCGGCAATTCGGCAGCGGGTCCCTCGGTCCCTCTCGGTCTCTGCTGCCGAATCACTGCCGAAAAATGAAGCGGCAGCGGTAGAGCTGCCACCGAAGTGCCGACGATCGGAGTTCTTTTTTTTTTTTTTCCCCCGTCCGCTCGGGGTAGCAAAAATGCTGGAGCTGGCCCTGCTCACATTGACAATACAATCGATAAAAGCGTTCCTGGCGAGGACATGCACTGCCAACACAAGAAGCCAAAGTGTGCACACACAAGTGATTTAATAACTGCAGTGGCTGTCTACTGCTTTAAGTTAGGTAGACAATTTTATAGTGTAGACATGGCCTTAGACAAGCACCAGAGCAGTGCTAAGGCCTGCCACTTGCCTAATTCTCATTGATTCTAGTGAGGGTTGGGTCTCTAAATCCCTTTGAGATCTGGCTTTAAGCACCCATGCCAAGATTTTCAAGTGTGACTAGTGGTTCTGGGTGCCTCCATTTTTGGGGGGTGCAAATTGAGACACTAAAGGGACCTGAGATTTCAGAAAGTGCTGTGCATCCACTCTATCAAAATCTGGCCCCAGGAGGTGTCTCATGTTGGGCACCCTAAATCACTAATCAATTTGCAGGAATCTTAGTCTTTAAACTTAGATTGTGAGGTCTTTGGGGCAATCGTCTCATGATGTGTGTGCACAGAACCTAGCACAATGGGGCCTCCAATAAACAGACTGCATTTAAAATGAAAGGTAGTGATGGATCCGGGCCTTAGCCTACACCCGCACTTTCCCCACCACTTAGGTGCTGTACACATACATAGTAAACACACTTTATTTGGAACCCTCCTAAAGATATTGTCTGTTGACCTCTAAGATCTGTACTCAAACCTTCCAGCTATCTCCTGTCTCCATAATGAGCCAGACAGTCCTGAACATTGAGGAAGTTCATAACAGACTGACCCACAGGATCCAGCTATGTCATGGCATACTTGCAGAGAAGTCAGATAAAAATATCAAATACTCCTGCTAGACAGTTGCACTGTAACACTACTTTATTTTTTAGAATCTAGAATAACAACACACAGTAATCAAAAGCAGAGACACAAAGCTGGATACTTCCTGAGGCAGAGAGGCCCAGCTCTCCCCACCTTATTCTAGGCTGACTGCCTGCTTGCTTCAGCTCCCTAGCCTGCAGGTAGACCAGGAAACAGCCCCCGACCCCTGCCCACCC